AAAACATTCTAATCAATGGAATTCCATTACTCGATGTAAATAGATAATGCTATTAATAAGAGGTGCTGAGGATGCAATTTCTGCGCAAAATTTTAAGAAGTATCATCCGTGTAAGTCCTTTCAGCGATTTTTCTATTTCTTAATTTTTATTTATAGTAGTTTTTAAGGTGTTTAACGAAATCAATTTCAGATTAGAAGGGATCTATCACATCATTATCAATTTTATTCATAAGTATATCAGCAATTTTTTGTAAAAGTCTAAAACATACATAGTCATATGGATCAAATGAATCAACACCCGTTACAGCATAAAGAGCATATCCCATTTCTTTCAATCCAAGTTTCTTCTATTTCTATAGGAATTACTCATTAACATACAAAGCTTGCTTGAATTCATTAATTCTACTAGCGATATATTTTTTGAGATCGGAGCTTATTGAGTTAAACTTAAGGAAATGAACGCAAATTATAAGTAAGAATAATATTTCCATCTCTTCACCAGGATCCTCAACTACTCTCATTAAATTTCTAATGAGAATTTTAAGTGCCCCTGATATTACCTTTTCTCCAAATTTTAATCTGAAATTCTTACCACCATCACTCTCTTTATGGTTAGTAAGCCTCATAAATGTCCAAATATTTTTCGCTAAAAACAAATCTGTTTTAGCATCTCCGATCTTTTTAATGAACCTAGTAATCTAATAACTGTTGCTATTTCTTCAGTGCCAAATTCAGATAATGACACATTGTTGAGGCACTTAACAACAGCATACTTAGCATCATCATTAGGAACATCTGACAATTAAAAAAAGCGGTTTCTCCAACAAAGTTATTAAGTGACAATGAAACCTCTTCAAATATAGGAGAGGACCCAACTTTTTCAGCTTCCTTGCAAAAAAAGTAACTCAGTTTTATATTCGCAATAAATAATTCCTAAATAACATCATCTAAGTGTTATAGTTATGTAGGTTTCTCTTTATCTGCAAGGCTTAATGGATTATAATATCTTCTTGCCATTTAATAAGTCTTCATACTTTTT